AGATGGGGGAAGGGGGGTTGTTACTTTGTGAGGGGTGAAAAGGATAACTATTGCATTGTTCTGTACACCTGAAACTAACAATAAAATTAAAAATAATAATAATAAAATACTTGTTTGGGTCCAGACTAGATGAAGGTCAGTGCAAAGACACCTATCTTATTACCATTTCTTTCATTTAAAGATTTTCTTTAAAAAATATAGCTAATATACAGTATTATGTTAGTTTCAGGTGTACATTATTGTTATTCAACATTTACATACCTAAAGAAGTGAACATCATAAGTCCAGCAACCATCTGATACTGTACTATGCTATCACGATATTATTGACTATATTCCATATGCTGTACATTACATCCCTGTGGATTATTTGTTTTATACCTGGACATTTGAACCTCTTATTCCCATTCACCTTTTTTCCCTTTATAAAATTTTTCAATTACAGTTCACCTTCAATATTATTTTACATTAATTTCAGGTATACAGCATAGTGGCTAGACATTTATATAATTTAAGAAGTGATCCCCCTGACTAGTCTAGTACCCACCTGGCACTATACATAGTTATTACCATATTATTGACTATATCCCTATGCTATACTTTACATTCCCATGACCATTTTGTAACTATAAATTTGTACTTCTTAACGCCTCCACCGTTTTCATCCCGCCCTGACTCCCATCCCATCTATCACCCCGATAAATCTACTACCCATCAGACACCATACATAATTATTACAATATCATTGCCTATATTCCGTATGCTATACCCTTCATCCCCATGACTACTGTGTACAACCAATTTGGACTTCTTAATCTGTTCCTGTTTTTCCTTATATCATCATTTAGTCAATTCTCTAGGGATGTAGAATACATCAAATAACATCACTAAGAAACTTCCTCAGGTAAAATGTACCATCAATTTCTAAACTTCTAAATTGATTTCTACATTAAAAAATAAAATTGTCCCATGACACCCAGAAAACAAGAGGAGAGTTACTTCTACTGCAGTACTCACTTCAGGTCCAGGTTCCCCCACAGGGCCATTTGAGCCGGGGGGTCCCACAGGTCCAGATGGCCCTTTATCTCCTGGTGCACCAGTTGCTCCTACTTTTCCTGGTGTNTGATCTGGAGCAGCCTTCCCACCTTCTTCTTAAATTATCACCCTTTTCCCATTTTATGAAAGAAAGGCAGACATCATATCATCTGCAATTTTATTATGGTGCAATGCCCCGGGCACCAAACTAAGGGACTTTTCCAGAATGCACAGTTGCCTTGAGAATAAACCAAAGAGGTATTTAGAAAAAAAGAGGCTGCCCTTATTTTATCCAGGTGTCCCAATTATGATAAGACTCCAAATCTTACCTCCTTAAGAAGTCAGAAGTGAGATGATTGTTAAATAAACTTGGATTAACATAATTAATGGAGTCAGACCTTCTTTCCTAACAGAAATTATCCTATTTGATGGATTAACTTGGTAACCAGGATAAACCTGGGCAATTAGGTTAGAGAATAGACACAAAATACATTGAATAAGCTAAACTGGCAACTCCATAATTTTGAAAGAAATATACTGAAAGCACAAGAACATTTAGAAATTACAAAGAATTACCTCCTTTGCAACTATTTAAACTTATAATTAAACTAAAAAGAGATGACAACCTAAAATGCATATAGGGGTTCAGAGATATTCAAAATTATATCAGGGAGTACATCAGCAAAATCTTTGAAGACTTAAAACACTAAACAATATACCGACCAAGGGAAGAACCCATCGTAGATGGGGAGGGGTTACCCCAAGATTCCTCAAAACTCTTTCTTGCTCTTTCTTTGATGCCTACTAGACACCTTAAACATGTGATTTAAAACACAAATGCTCAATGGTACAAGTATTAATCATATTTAGAGTATTTGAAAACTGAGGTTCAGAAAATGTGTTCAAGATCACATAGATAGTTACTTAAGGGATCAAGATTCCGATACAGGTCCGTCTGGCTTCAGAGCCTATTCTGCTACATGATGGGCCCTTAGAGTGGAAAGAGTCATTACGTCATAGGTCTGCTATGACGGTCTCTTGGAGCAGGCGCTGTTTTTGCCTTTCCTGGACTGATATGTAGTCTGAGACAACTGCGTGAATGCCAATGGGGAACGAAGCTTCAGATAAAAGTTGGGGATATTTTCAGTTCTGTACATGTCTAATTTAAAAATACATCATGAAATATACAATATTCAGAAAGCCACATGGTTTATTTTCTCATGGGGCATTCATTTCAGGGGGTGAGTAGCGAAATTTAGATGTCACACAGCTCTATTTCTGCTCCCACCCTTTTGTGAATGAGTTTGAAATTTAGACCACTTCCTATGTATCCTCATCTAAAGCCTTCATGTAGCACCACATACTAAAGCAATTTGCTTTTCCTGCTCTTAACAAAAAACGCCATCTCACTTGGCTGTGTATTCAAATCCCATTTCATTTACAAAATCTACCAAAATTATGACATTAAAAAAAAAGGTATCCTTTGACAGAAAAATCAGGGTTATATTGGAGCTATGAGAAGAAAGGGTAGATTTTTTACTCTTTAGTACTACAAAAATTTCAAATTTACATTACTCCAGACTTTTTAATCAATGAAATTGCCCTTACACGTTCTCCAACAGCACCGTCCCG